ATACACCCAAATTTCAAACTGAATTACTTTTTTCTGTATTATTAATTGAGAAGATAAATAGAGAAAGTTCAACATACAAATTATAGGGAAATTTGGCTCAATAACAAAAAAAAAATACTATTTGCCCTAATTCTAGTGTATTCCACCATTAAGCCACATATGCTCAATTTAGTTACGTAATGAATTATTAAATTTTTTTGGGTTATTCTTGCAAATGACCCAAAATTATAGGGGTGGTTATAGGAGAATTAAAAAAAAACATCATATAATTCAACTAATATGAACATTTTAAATAATAAGAAAAATGTGATGAGTATAATTTGATGAATTTCTGATTTTTAGTATCTTGCATCTGACTCAATTACATGTGAGAAACAGATTTGTCCAACTTCACAATATAATTGTGTACATACTTCATCAATGTTCAATTTAACTTCATTATGTAATCCATTTACAAAAAATTTTCAAACAAAACCAAAAACTTTTCATATCACTAAACCATTAAGTCGAAATTGGTAGACCATTATCAGACTACATATTCTAGCATTAATGATATAAGTTACTGTAATTAGTCGTGCATGTGTACAATATGAATCTCATCCAAATCAATAGCTCGTTATTAATATTCTCTCTAGATGTTTGCTAGTGGATTATTTTGAATAATGTTTACGAATTTCCAGGTATTTCATTCTACCATCAGCTATAAATAGTTTAATTTGTCAATGAGACATATCACTGTGGTCCATAGAGGACCAAAATTTGGAGAATAGCCTGCTGAGGGATTAAAAAACCTATCAAGAAACGGGTCTTACGATCTTATGTAAGGATCTGTGCCAACAGGTGTGGAAGAGTTAAGTGATGAATGAGACCCACTTAGAAAGGAATCCTCAGATCTTCTGTGCAGACTTGAAGAGATGGTAGGTGGATGACTAAAGGCTTGATGACACCCATTAGATAGAGGAGTATATTATTGTCCGTGGTACATTCTCTCTGTAGTGAAGGTGGAGTTGCTCTTGGTTACAGAATTTTTCATCGAGTTGGACTAAAGACTGTCTCGCAGCCTGCTCGTAACATGGAAAATGGCTTCTCTCACGTTTTTGGGAACTCTCCTGAAATCTATTCGCCAGCAAAAAATGTGAGTTTATGACACAACTTAAGAACAATAATGCTTACGAAAAAGAAAAATATAAAAACTGCGTTTTACACTGTTCATTAAAATTTAAATGTTCAGGAGATCTCTCAACCAAAGTTTACAGCAAGTGCAAGAATTTTATATTGTCTTAGAGGTAAACATATTTGAGGTAAACGTTTAAGAATATTATCTGGTTGCATACATATTTTTGATATTGCTCATGTTGTTTCTTGGGTTACCAATATGCAGGTTCCTAGTATGGTCATCTTCTTCTATAGGCTTGTTCGTCTCGAGCTAAATACATGTGCGCAAGGTTGGTGGAATCTTCTCACTCAGTTGCTCGAGAATTCTCCCAAACTAGCACCTCTCAAACTCTTTTTTTATTTTTCAATTATATATACA